TGTGTGTATGGAACTTTCACTGTTTTTTTTTTCTCGATGTTGGAAAAAACCTGATTTATCGAGTCATACACGGATCGGCCAAGTGGACGGAAGTGTGGAGAAAAAACATTTTGACCTCCAAATACGTTCAGACTGTCCCCGCAAGTTCGAACATACTTGTAGGCTAAATGCTACGAACGTAGCATTTTCCCTTAATGCGACAGGGTATTAACTTGCGCAAGTGTAAATTAATTTTTTTTTAAAAAAAGCTTTCTTTCATGATGTTAGCAATGCGTTAATCGCAACACTTAGTTCTAAAATGATGTTTAAAAAACAGCTCAGGTCTATGTGATGGAACTCAATGTGTTTGTTTGTTTGTTTGTTTGTTTACGTGGATTCAGTCGGCTTTCACTTTTCTCTTCAGCCCCCCTTTAGTCACACACCGTTTTATCCCCCTCACCAGGCTTTGGATGCAACAATCCTCGGAAGTGACACACACACACACACACACTCTGCTAAACTTAAGTCAGCAATCAAATCCAAAGCAAATGTGACAACTTCATAGTCAATCATCTCTTCAATTCTCACTACGATCACTGTCAACAGTTATTTCTCATATTGGCCAAAAATGAAAACCGTTTAATCTGTCTTTTCCGTTTTGTGTTGAAATGTGAGTTCATTTGTCACTGTTGATTTGATTTATTTATTTATTTTTGCTCATTCCATGAAGGATGTTCAACTCGTCTTTCAATGTCATGTCTCCATCTAGAGTGTGACAGGAAGTGGCCCAGTGGATTTCCTGCGTCCTTATCGTACCACAGGAAGAGGATGAAGATGGAGAGAGAAAGAGAAAGGCCGATGGATTTGTTTCGAAGGAGGAAGGAACAAGGAGTTGGTTGGGCTGAGGAGGAAATGGCTTCAGATATCAGGTGACAGCTTCCAGTGCAAAGGCGTCTCAGGACTTCCTTGGGGCCAAGTCCGCCACCTCTCGAGGGCCCCGTCACCGGAACGTAAGTGATTTGCCTTGTTTCATCGTCACGTTCTCCTTGATGAAAGAGACCACACTCAAAGTCAACGCAAAATTCTCAGTCTTACCAGAAATAAAGTTGTTGTTTTTCATTAAACTGAGAGAATCAAATTAAAAAAAAAAACAAAAAACAACTCACGTTTGTGAGACAAACTTCAGAATATTACAAGAATATGTTTTAGACTTATTTCTGAGCCATCTTGTAACATTCAACGAACGCTAAACATTTTTGAAACAGAAAAAAAAGTGACACATTTTCATTCAACGTGTGGCATTTTTATTTTGCAATTGTGTTTCCTGTATCGTCTTGAGTCGAGCAGAAAGTGACAAACCAAAATAAGGTTTGGATGAACATTAGAAACAAGAAGCAGCACTTCATGTTCTATCTGGCAAAAGAAAGTTTGAAATCCATCAATAAAAAGTTCCAGTGGTGGCTCCCCCTGGCGCATTCACCAGCAACATCACGTTGAACATCAAAAAGTCAAAGCACACGCTTTCACGTTAGCTCCCAGATTTGATTGGATGTCACTTCCGGCAGGGGAAACGGATGGCGCGGTCCCCCCCTCCTTTCTCTCCCCCCCCCCTCGGTTTTAAAAGCAGGCGGCGGGCGCGCGAGCCCCCATTGACTGACTAAGCGGCCGTCATGACAGCCATGAGGGTTGCGCTCGTGCTTCTGGCCTTTCTGCTGAGCACTCGCGGAGACGTGAGGGCCCGAGACCCCGAGGTGGAGCAGGAGGAGGACGAGCAAGAGGATTGGGGGACAACGTCGGGCGTCATCAGTGCCACCGAGGAGACCCCCCTGATGCAGGATGGAGGAAACTACCCGGCCCGAAGTGGGTGAGTCCATCCGTAGCATCCCCTCAGCGCCGTCCAGAAGGCCACGTTATTAGCGATAACAATTTCATTCAACATTGTGTCATTTGTTATTTCCGCTTCTTGGTCCCCCAACATATGAATTTGCCATTTGCAACTTACAACGCATGGGGACCGAACAGGTGATAAGAAAAGTTGTGCTTTGGCGCTGTCTTCTGGCATCTTTGGCAAGCAAAGACAGCTTTTTTTTTTCTATAGCACTTTCTATAGGTAACTCAATGTGCTTCACATAATAAAAAACATTTTAAATTGAAAAAAGAAAAGAACAAAGTAAAGAAATAAAGAAAGCTGACTAAAATGACTAAAAGAAAGTACAGTGCAAGAATGAGATTTGGGGGGGAAAAGCACCAAGGATCTGTCATGAAGTGAGTTAGAGCTTCATTTAGACAAAAGTAGTGCTTTATTCCCAAAATGTGGCATCTTACTACCAGGGAACTATGTTGAAGTGAGTTGAGAGCTTCATCTTGACAAAAGTAGGGCGTTTCTGCCAAATTGTGGCATCTTAGTGACAAGGAACTATTGTTGAAGTGAGTTGAGGAGCTCTGATTTGACGAAAATAGGGCTTTGCTATCCTGTGAAATCTATGGGAAATGATTCACGATTTTTTTTTTTTTTAGGATGGCATCAGTTGCATATTTTTGCCATTTGTGCAGGGCTCGGTCCTTCTCCCCAGCAAATAGCCGGGGGAGGCAGTATTTTGATAAGGACTTAGCTTAGCTGTGTCAAGTATCGAAGCACGCGCTAAACATTGGCTTCTGCGCCTTCATTTTGAACCCCCCCTCCCGCCCTCGCAGTCCAAGAGTCAAACATCCAAAGCGGAATGATGCTCATATGGAATCTGAGACGTTTTCCTTTGAGTGTATCTTCTCCCTTCATCCCTGACGTGTGGTCGCATTCCAATCGTGCGGCGCCTTCGCTGCGAGGAAGCGGGAAGGCTTTGCGTGTTTTGACTGCCACCATGTTGTTCACCTTTGCCACCCGCGCCGACGCTTTACGAGCCCCTCTGCAGCTACGAGACAAGCCCGTCACATGGAGCTCGCACCAAGGGGCGTCCCGACTAAATCATGTCTGACTTGTCGTCCAGCAAGTCCGCCTCACAGTGAACGGTTCCCTGTTCGATCCCCGCTGAACAAAATAAAAGGCCGGGGTTGACTGCATCATGACAAGCTGATGCTCGTAGCACCGCAGCTCCGCTTACCTTTTGCCTTTGAGAAGAGCCTACACTGAAAAAAAAAGTTTGTTGAATGAACTCCATTTTAATTAGTCAAGCGGTTGCATGAAATCAAATCTTCTGGATCCAGATGCCATTTTGTTGAGTCGATGGATGTATCGTCTTTGTTTGTTTTGTGCGATCACTTGAGGAAATAAAATGTCCGCAACGGCTCGCCCACACAAGTTATCGGAATACTAAAGAGTTTATCGTTGCTTAATTTCATACTTGATGGCTGGGCAGGCACGTCAGACACACAAAAATGTGCATGTCAACATGACAAAGTATGTGCCCTTAAATGGACGCCCCCATCTGCAGTTGAGTAAATAAATGGAACGCAATCAGGATTTGTGGAATTTTGTTGGCTCCTACAGATGTTTTTTTTTTTTCTTTTTGTGATCGGGTCAATTCTGATTCAATTTGCTTCTGATTCACATTAAATCTGATTCACTTTGCGTATGACCAAGATGGCTTCGGATCCACATTGGTCCTGCTCTGAATCACTTCCGATCCCAATTGCTTCCCTTTCTCATCGGTTCTGAGCCGGAGCCCTTCCAAACTGCAATTCTCCAGATCCAAAGTAGGCTATAGCATGAGTGGGGCACGCAAGCGTCATGTGCGGCTCGCGGCGAGCTCCCAGGCGGCACATGAAAACGTCCCGGCAGGCAAAGAATGAGGCGGGGTTCTTATCGGTATCTTCATCGTGCAGGTGGCCGCGCTCTGATGCCGAGTCAGTCCAAAACCTCCAAATCTTCTCGTTCTTCAACATTCTCTTTTGGGGTGTTTACAGTCATGTGACGCATGGCTTGCTTTTCCTTCCTTCCAAACGGTTGACAGCCACTGGACCAAAAAAAAAAAAAAAAGTCCATTTGATGTGCAGATTGGAAATTGTCTCCTAAATGTCCTTGGCAGGAAACAATCCTTGTAAACATCCTCTGCTGCTTTTCTGCTTTCCCGGTCACGTCTGTCTTTTCATGATCACGAGGTCTCAAATGATTTCCCGTAACTTCTGTTCTGCAGAACCCCCAAAAAGTGGTTGAAGTGTGGGATCGTACCACCGCCCCGCGACGCCCGCGGCCCCTCCAACAGGAAGTGCAGGAAACAATGGAGGAATCAAAGTCCAAACCTCGTATGAAGTCATATTTTCCCATCGGTCGTTTATCCGCAGGCAGCAGGAAAGCGTCAGCGCAGGGGAAAATACCGACGGTGGGCCGTGTCGCTGTTCAAACAATCGCCCGTTTACATTCACGGTTGCCGGCCAATGGCAGATTTCCAGTGAACGTTTGTTTGTTTGGCGTTCGGTGTTGACGATGTGCTGCTGAGATGACAAAAACGGGGATGGTCATGAAACGTCCAAATGTTTTTCCCGGGGCGCGGCAAATTGACGTGTGCACGCGTGTCTGTGTGTGCGCTTTGCAGGAACTGGTGCGCCTTCGTGCAGAAACGTGTGGTCACCGTGGCGGTAGCGTGCGGCACGGAGAAGTACACCATCAAGTCCCAAAGTCCGTGTCCCAGCGGAACGCCGGACTGTCATTTGGTCATGTAAGGAAACAACAAAAACAACAACAGAGTTTTGCTGGCACCACCCATTTCAACACAGCTTGTTTGCTAGATGGCGGGATTTTTCCACCCATTATTTTTTCACGTGGACTCTGACTGCTGACTCACGTCGCAATAAGCACAAGCCAGAGGGAACGAGAAACTCCCAACGATGCCATACAAGGCAAGCCGCTCGTCGGAGCGGCTCTATCTTGGTGGAAATGTCAACTTTTGCTTGTATTTACAAGATGACACACGACTACTGCTAGCTACCACTCCGGCTACGCGTCGCACTCTACAGCTCAGCATCAAAGCCTCCAAACTTGCTCTTGTCCACACCGTCGACTGCCATGTGCGCAGGTACAAGCTGTCCACTCGGCCGCTCTACAGGCAGCAGCAGAAAGAGACCACGGCTCTCTTGTGGAGATGTTGCCCAGGACACAGAGGAGACAACTGTGACGACACAGGTGCCTACTTGTCTTATGTGGCGTCAAGCCGCCCCTTTGCGTCAGTCGCCACATCTTAGAAATGTGCTGAATGAACATTTTTGAATTCCATGTCCGCGCGGACGCCGGGTGTAGAATTTCCGTAGTTCTCGTGATTTGTGCCGACTGAGATAAAGCACATGGACTGGTTTGAAAACACACATCATTTAATATATAGTCGCCAAATTCTTCAAAATAAACTCCGGGGTTCCTCAAGGTTCTCTTCTAGCACCGCTACTATTTTTCCTCAATATGTTTCCTTTGGATTATATTTTAGGAGACAAACTAAAATCTATTTCAAAATGTGTATTGAAGCTACTTTCTACACGAGAAGCTCATGTCCAACCCTCAAGGAAAGAAAGTGAAGAAACAACATTTGTGAGCAACTGAGACGTTGACATGAATGTTTTTGCTGAACCTGTTTTTGCGTACTTTTTGAGTGTGTGTGTGTGTGTGTGGGTGGGTGTGTTTCAATGGACTTAAAAGAAAAATATTTCTGAACACAGTGTTTGTTTCCATCGGGCTCTATTTTTAATATTGCTTTTCTCATCGTCCCCAAATGGGAGCAGTAGTCGTTTAATTTAGTCGAGACTCGTTTGGTGGGAAACAGTCATGTTTGGTTGGAGTCCGGAGGAGGACGTCCCGAAAAGGAGCCAGATGTAAATAAAAGCGACTTCCTGTCGTCTCTTTATCGGGCACACGCTCAAGTGATGACGGTTGTTATTTTGGCGTTCATACGTAGACTCGATTAAAAATGTCAAGATTTAGCAAAAAGAAAATATCAACTTGTCTTTTGCAGTCGCTGATACACAGATCGACTCGGCAAACTCGTCTCTGATTGGAGGATCCGAGTTCCAGAGAACGCCCGAAAGTCTCCATACCGCTGGTACCACCTCACGCATGGCACCTCTCCACAAAGAACCGACTGGTCGCCAGGCACTGTTGGCTCACATAGCGACAAACGAGCAATCCCTCTCACATTCACACCTCTCGACAATTTGGATTCTTCAATGAAGCTAGTTAATATGCCAACATCTCTCGGGTGTTGGAGAAAAAAAAAAACAACAAAAAAAAAAAACACGCGGAGAACACGCGAACTCCACACAAACGGGCCGCAGATTCAAACCCAGAACGGTGAGGCAGACATGCAAACCACTAGGACACCGTGTTGACCAGGCAATCACATTCGCATCAGGCTTGCCAGCTCCATCGTGTGTTATTTATTATTTTTTTTTTTTTTGGTCAATGTTCAGATTGAACTTGAAGTCACTTCTGAAGTTTGAAATCAAATGTCAAGTCCAGTCTCATTACGGTTTAAAACACACACGTCGACGCAGGCGCACACACACACGCACATTCTTCCTCATGTCAGGAAAGTGCGGAAGCCACGCGCTTCACAAAGTCACCGTCAGGTCATTGGGAGGTTCCCCCCTAGCCCCCCCCACCTCCGGGAGGAAAGTTTGAGTAAACCTTGTCCCCCATTCCTCTCACCCAAGGTCACCCTGCTCCCATCCTGTCCCACACTGACTCACCCTGGTGGAGTTTCTGGCCGTCAAAGTGTTGCCGGGTGAAAGTTGACGGTCGTCGATTGTCGAGGAGCATCGTGTTGGAGCGACGTGACGAGAGGCCGAGCGTATTTTGAACTGCGTGCGGCCGTGGAAGCGGGCGGCAGCGCTTTCGTTTCCCTTCAATTGGACCGGCTGCCGTCACGACGCTACGTTTCCGCTCGCCGTTAGCCCTCGGCCCACGCGCTGACGTGACGCGATTGGGATATTTTGTCGCTTCTGCAAGCGAGGGACAGAAAAAAGTTTCACCGTCTTTGTGCTCACACGTAGAACAGCGGCAAAGTGATGGAACGTCTTCTTGATATTTGAATAAAACTCTGCTACCGTGCTTCAAAGTCCACGAGCAGACCGGCATCTCTTCGACAAACCGCTCCATCCCGAAAGTGAGCGTTCAGACGTGGGATTCGAACCCACAGCAGACGACGACGATATCGAAGCACCTTCAAGCGTTTGGCCGTCCCGAGTCCTTTCAAATGTTGCCACCGGCAGCTTAAGAGGACCGATTGTGACTCATCCGCGCTGCACTTAATTGTGACCCGAATGTCGCACTTTCGCTGGCCCTGCAGATTTATCGATATGCTGACATCTCTCACATCCAGTTTCAACAACAAATTTTGGAATTGGACTTCTACGCCTCCCCCCCCACATGGCGAGTCCCCAAAAGCTCAACCCTTACCTTCCCAAAAGTGATGTCAGGAGTTGAGCCTTTTTTTTTTTTTTGTGCGTTCAACTCGTGTTCAGTCAGAAAAAAACTCCCCTTTTTTTTCGGAAAGTTCCTCCTCACATCCTGTATGTGGTTGGAAAAAATAAGGGAGCAAGAAAAGGGGCGAAATGTCGGGAGTGCCGACGCGCCGCTCGCTCCCACCACACCTCCGATTCAAAACACTTCCTGCCAAGCCGGTGGCGTGAAGTCATCAACCTTGCGGCGACGCCGGACACAATCGGAGGAACTCCAACGACTAAAATAGTGCAAGCGTGACTCACGAAGCAAGCGCTTTGGCTTTTCAAGATTTTCATACCCCACTGAATGGATTTTTCGATACCCCCCGAGAGCAGACCAGCCTCTCTCCGACAGATGACGTGAACCCTTGCAGTCCCCAAATCTGCTTTTCGCCAACATAGACGACGACTGAAAGCGGCAACTTTGACCACTTTGCCTGCCCAAGGACAGACGAGCGTCTCAAACAAGCGGTCTTGTCATCATGTTTTCCTCTGTGGTGGGGGATTCCATGCCTTGCTCAAAAACGCTGCCCGTTTGCAGCTTTTGCGAAATCATGCTGTCAGCAGCGGGCAGAGCGTGACTTGAAGCACCTTTGACCTGCTCGGCCAATTCTTTGCCGCTTTTCCCCCTCATAAGCGCGACCTGTCCGGAACTCTCCAGTGTCCACTGAGCTTCTCCCTTCCCGAAAGTCGACGCCTCGCCGGCCGGACCTTCATGCCGCCGCCGTCATTTCCGAAGTGGAAGTAGAAGTGATGAGTGTGCATCACTTTAGTGATTTGTGCCCACGTCTCCGACTGAAGGTCACTGATACGGAGCGCGCGGCGTTCCGGACGGAGCATTCTCTTGCTGACTCACGCAAGCAAACTGCACAGTCGGCAGAGAGAAAGACTTTGGTGTGTTTGGGAATGGGAACGGCCACATTTCCCCCCGCCCGCTTGCAGAAGCCACACCGCCGACGAGCGCCATTTTGGGGTGAAAAACGATGACCAAAATATCCAATTGCGCAATGTATGACGCACCCACGTGCATCTCACCGACATAAAACACACAGTCGTCACGGCCATATCCCGTTTCGCCTCTAAACGGGAATTTCGGAGTGCACCTCACGCCTTCGTCACACTAACCTCACTTCTAAAGGGTCCGCCGTAGACGTCCGGATGTCTTGTCAAACCAAATTGGTTGTTGTGTTTCAGGCGTTCTGCCCCAGCAACAGCACAGCCAGCCAAACAGTGAGCAGAACGACCACCAGGGGTCAGTCAACACGCCGCACAATGTCAGCCATGTTGAGTTTCCTGTGCATGTCGCAAACGGGGACCGCTCTCGACACCAGGAGCACGCTCAACCTCCTGTCTATGTACCAAATCAGGACCGCGCTCAGTATCCCGCCCCTGTACCAAATCAGGACCGCCTTCAGCGCCCCGCCCATGTTGCGCATCAGGACCGTGCTCCACATGGGGACCGCGTCCGCACTCCCGTCCGTCTTCCGCATTCGGACCCTGTCCGAGTTCAAGAACGGGACCCCGGCCAGTACCCTGTCCCCGTCCAGTATCCCATCCACGTCCAGGATCGGGAACCCGCTCGGAACCCGGTCCGTGCCCAGTATCCGGTCGGGGTCCGGGAAGGGGACCCCGAACGGCATCGCATCTCGCATCCTGCCGGAAAACACGAACAGCAGGAGAGCCTCCAGCCCGGTGAGTGCTTCGATGAACCCGCGGGCCGCTGCGCCTGGCCTTCGTATTGCCCTGAAGGAATGAGATCATGCAGATGGGTTTGTTTGCTTCAACTTTTTACGATCTCCAAATTTTTGGACAGAAGATTCGGCATCTGCGGTACGCACTCATCATCTGGAAAATAAAAACGGTCCAATTTCGCTCTTTTTGGGCTCCTCCTCTCACGCTGTTTTCCTCTGGACTGCATAATAACGCGCGAGGCGCAACAAATCAAAGCGCGGGTCAGCATGACATCATCCCGAAGGGGACTTTGTCTTCGTCTCGTTAGGATTTCTCACTTCCTGTTTTTTGAGCCGGCACATCCGATATGAGGCCGATTTCCTCTGAGGACTTCTTTGCAAAGCATTTAAGTCAATACCGAATCGAATCGCAAGCAAAAGAATCCAACATCGAACTCAAAGTACTTGACTTGCAGTTCCAGGAACGACGAGTATCAAAAAAGCACAAGTTGGAGCGTTTGGGGCTGTTTAAGCGTTTACACGCCAGACTTGGACTGGTGACATTTACGAGCCACTGCGAGATGCCCTTCGAGTCACAGCGGGAGTTGCGACGTTTACAATCGAGCGCGCGGACCCACAAACGACCGTTTGTGTGTTGCGTGCGTGGACGGGAAGTCTCACAGCTCGCCGCCGTCAATCACGTTATTCGCTCTCTGAATACTGATCAATACCGAGTACTGATACTTGCAGTACTTTTGATTTTATTTGAACACAATGATGGAAAAGTTGTGACCGAAGAGCTTTGGGACACAGATGATTCTTTGCCCGTGTGCTGCGTGTGATCAATAAAATAGAAATAAAGCTTTAAAAAAAGAATGAATGGACCCATATTTGCAAGAAATTAAAATAATGACGACACAAAACTCAAAAATAAAGTAATGGCAAGTAAATCTTTCTTGCGTGCGTTTCAGGCGCATACCAGGAGGAGGAGGAGGAGGCGGAGGCAACGTCCCATCCCGCCGTCCCCGCAGCGCTGCCCCTCCCCCACATGGTGGCGCTGCTGATGTCTCAGCTGCAGCGCCCCCTGCAGCTCTTCAACCACTCGCTGGAGCAGCTGGACCGGCGGCTGGGCGAGCTGGCCCGAGATGTGGCCGAGCTCAAGGGCGCCCGGCGCCTGGAGCGAGACCTGCGCGACGACTACGAGCGGCGGCTGGACGCCAAGGTGGAGCAAAGCGTCCGGCAGGTGGCGGCGCTGCGCGAGCAGCTGGAGAGCGGCCTGCACTCCCAGCAGGCCATGCTGCACTACAATATGAGCAACTTGAAGGCCGACCTGGACCTCAAACTCAAACGACACAACAAGATGCTGCAGGTACGCACGTGCACACGTACGCCACGCACGCATCCACACGCACTCCGACTTGTGAACGTTCTTGTCGTCACGGAGAAATTTGTTGCCGTTTGCCCTTTGAAAGATTTTGCTTTGGTATTTATGCTCCGTGATCCCCTCAAGTGTCAATCAGTTCTGGTTTTTTGAAAGATTTTGCTTTGGTATTTATGCTCCGTGACCCCAATCAGTTCTGGTTGTGGTGCCATCTTTTGGCATCTCGGTGTCAGGGAAGTTTGTTGATGTGAGTTGCGGAGTTTCATTTGGACAAAAGTAGCGGTTTGCCCCCATCTTGAGGCATCTATGGGCAATGACAACAAACCTGTTTGAACGGAATTACTTTTGGATTCCGACTTTTTCTTTCAAACTGTCATTTCTGAACAGTCGCGTTTCCTTTTGGAAGGTTACGTTGAACGTTTCACTGTTGCTTTTGAACTGTGACGTTTCACTCGGATCACTTTTTGAATTGTTGTTGCTGTCAGGCCAGCCTGCAGGCCATGAACGCCACCCTGGCGGAGCTCAAGTTGGACCAGGAACTGGAGCAGGAGCAGCAGCGAGAGCAGGAAGGCCAACAGGAAGCGGGACGGCAACAGGAAGCCCGAGTGGAGGCGCCCGCGGGGGAGGCGCACGCGGGGGAGGCGCCCGCGGGGGAGGCGCACGCGGCGACGTCACAAGTGTCGACCGACGCCCTGTGGGACGCCATCGAGCGTCTGGACAACAGGGTGGTCAACAACACCATAGCGGTGAGCCGCGCCTTCCTGCGTGTGTGTTCCGCTTTGCGGCTGCTGCCACCTACAGCCTGTGCCCCGTCACTGCGGACACCAGTTGGCACTTTTTCTCTGACTCTTCCTTTTTGACTCTTTCCTGCCCGTTTCTCTTCATTTTTGACAGTTGTTTTCAGATTTTTCACTTTTCGACTTTTCATGATGACTTTCGGGCGGCACGACGGCCGCAGAGGCTTCGATTTTGGGCTGCGGCCTTCCTGCGTGGGGTTGTGCATGTTCTCCCCGTGCCTGCGTGGCTTTTCTTCGCGTACTCCGGTTTCCTCCCACATTGCAAAAACGTGCGTGGCAGGTTCACGGAACACTCCAAATTGTTCCGAGGTGTGAGTGTGAGCGCGGATGGGCGATTGTGTGCCCCGCCTCCCACCTAGGCTTCGGCACGCCCGCGGCTCTTTGACTGACCGATTTCCTTTGCTCTGACCAATACTTTGACTTTTTCACCATCTCATTTCATTTTGGACGGGTACTTTTCAAATACGACCGTGGCACTTTGTCTTTCCGAGTCACCGCAAGGCAGCGTGCGCCGGTGCGGCCTTTCAGGTGGACAGGCTGGCGGAGGACCTGGCGCTGACGTCGGGCGGCGTCCGGCAACTGCGGCGCGACGCCAAGGCGCTGGGCGAGCGCCTCAACCAGACGGCGCGCACCGGCCAGGTGCTGTTCATGGAGACGGGCCTGGAGGTGGAGGCGGCCAAGGTGGCGGTGCTGGAGCGCGTGGAGCAGCTGGCGGGCAACCTGAGCCGGCAGGGTCAGCGGCTGCACGAGCTGGACGTGGACGTGGACTACCTCTACGCCGTCCTCTACAAGAACAACGCGTCCTCGTCTTCGCCGCCCCAGTGTGACTGCGGGCGCCTCGGCGAGGCGGTGGCCCGGCTGGAGGGGGGCGTGGCCAACGCCACGGAACTGGCCACCGAGAACCGTCTGGCTCTGGAGGACGAGCGGCGGGCGGCGGCGGAGGCTCGGCCGTGGGAGGCCGGCGCCGGCGACTGGGAGACGGCCGTGGAAGCGCTGCAGACGAGCCTGCAGCAGGTGGGGCAAGTGGGAGGGACCTTCGGCGCCCAGTGTGTGTGTGAAACATGCTCTGCTTGGGTGCCACCTTGTGGCGTCTGTCGGGAATTGTCAAGCATTTTCTCGAGGCGTCAGTGACGATGCCTCGAGACTTGTTCATGACGGCAGTCGTACACTGCCTGACTCGTCCTTTGGCCGCTGGAGTTTTGCTTTGACTGTTGGCTTTTCGTTTTGCGCGTCGACAGGTGAAGGAGTCGATGACCTCGGAGCAGAGCCGGACGACGACTTTGGAGTCGAGCGTGCGGCGCCTCGGCGTCCTGCTGCAGGAGGCCCGGGCCCGAGCGGAGACCCGGCAAGACGCCCCGTCGGCGTCGGACGGGGAGCTGCGGGAGGAAATGAAGCGCGTGTTGGCGGAGATGAAACGTCTGTCGGCGTCCTTCAACTCGCTGCTGAAGGACGTCATCCGCCACAGCGACGTCCTGGAGATCCTGCTGGGCGAGGAGGTGCTGGAGTTCCTGGAGTGGCCCGCCCAGGACCAGGAGGCGCACTCCATCCCGGCCCTCAAGGAGCGCCTTGGCGCACTCCGGCAGACAAGCGACGAGCCAGGTGCAGTCGGGCGGGCGCCTTTTTTGCCATGCCTTGGGGGGAATCTCACGGCACGCCACCGAACGACTTTATCTGCAATTCATTGGACGGCGGTCCAGTTACTCAACTGCACCTCTCGGGTTGCCATCGTTAGCCAATTGCATAAATCAGTGCGAGTGAGTTATTTGCGAGGGCGTGAAAGACGCGCAGCCCTTGACTTTGCGCCGGTGATCGCAGGAGACGCGGAGGAGGCGCCGTCGGCCGACGCGCCGTCGTTCCGGTCGAACGAAGGAGGAGGGCCAATGTCCGCGGGAGACGGCGGCGACCTGTGGAAGCTGGAGAGGAGCGTGGAGCAGCTGGAGGCCAAGCTCCAACGCCTGGAGGAGGCGCCCTGCTGCCGGGACGCCGGCGATGGCGAGGGGGAGGCGGAGGAGGAGGAGGCGGCGCTGCGCACGGAGGTGGCGCGGCTCAAGCGAGGCCTGGAGGAACACCTCAGGACCTTCAAGGACGTCTTGGGCAACGCCGACGTGCTGGAGAGAAGCGCGCCACGGACTGTTGCCGCCCAGGGAAAGAAGAAGCGAGGGAGAGGCGGACACCATCGTAACGGGAGGGAGGCGCCAGGTGAGGCGCACCGGCTGACTTGATTCCAAAAGGGGACATCAAATTGACAGTGCGACGGAAATTCCCTTTGAGATGGCGCCACGTGTCCCCCAAACGCATTTTTAACGCACATTTTTTTTTTCCCCCGATTTTGATTTGATATTTTCAGTTTTTGCTATTTCGTCATTTTGGCCTGCAAAAGCTTGCGCCGTGTGGACTCGATCACTTTCAGAAAAAAGTGATCGAGTCGATAGGGATGTATTTCCATTTAGTTTTCATTTACTATTCCCTTCACCGAGTGACTTTTACTTTTTAACTTATTTTTTATTAGAGGTATTACTTTTAAGTGTTGACTTTTGACTACACACACACACACACACACACACACACACACACACATCTTTTACATTGGGGTTAGGGTTTCAACGATAGGTTCAAATTGGCGGCAAGGTTTCAAATTAGGGTTTCAACCCAGCATTAAGGTTCAAAGTAGGGATTTTAACAGGGGATGGGGTCAGAGTCCGCTTTCACATTCGGTACAGTATAGGGTTTAAAATCTGGGTTTGTGCTTCAAATTAGGGGGAGGGTTTCAAAATCGGGTTCCAAATTAGGGTTACGGTTCCAAAGTGGGGTTGCAAAGTATGATGAGGGTTCCAAATGAAGGTTTCAAAGTAGGGTTTCACTCTCTGGGGTGGGGTTTGAAAGTGCGACTTTCAATTAGGGTCAGGGTTTCAAAAGTACGTTTTCAAGCTATAGTTAGGGTTTCAAATCACGGTTAGCATTTCAAATTAGGGTTAGGGTTAGTTTCAAAGAGGGGTTTTAAATTTGCGTTAGGGCTTCAAATTAGGGTTTTAACCTACGGTGGTGTTTTAAATTGGGGTGAGAGATCCAAATTAGGTTTTCATATCATAAATAAACAAGGTTAGCATTTCCACAGAGTGTTTCAAAGATTTTGCCTGGTTTCCGAAGTGCGCCTCAGTCAGGAAAAGCGCATTCGCGGATCGGCATCATCTGAGGATTCTGCGGCCAGCTCGGGCCTCTTTGCTTCTTGGAGCCGTGAAAGCAGACGACGGCTCACTTCAGATCGCTTCTCATCCTGTATGGAGTCTTTGCAAAAATGTATTGAAATGAATCCCTTTTGTATAGTTTGTTTAAAAAAAGAAATAAAAAGTGCCGAAATAAAGCCGCTGCCATTCGCTCCGCATGTCGATTTGTACTTTCCACGCAAAGAAACACAACGTTTCCTCTTTGGAACACTTTAATCATGTTAATTCTACCGAGTACAAAAATAAGCAGCAAAAATAGAACAAGCTCAATCAAATCAAAACTTTGGACTAAAAGTGAACTGAGTCAGAAGCAGGCAACAAACAAACAAAAAAGGCGTCAGTTGCTCATTCGAAAGAATTTTTGTGTGTTTGAGGTGTTGGCTTGCTGTGAGTACAACAAAGGTCTCAAATCACACCCAACTTTCTTCCTCACAAGGGAAGTCGAGTTAAACAAAGACGCTCGCTAGGTGCACCGCTTACATCATAGGTACACGAAGTCCTAAATGGGTACACATATAGAGAGAAAAAGAGCTCTTTATAGGTTTCTATTTGTGTTATGTCGTCGGCTAGACGGGAAGAGGAAAACATGCTCAAGATTAGCTGCGACTCCGTTTCAAAGCTTCAAATCTAAACACTCGAACTTGACTTGTAGAAAACTAGCTTGCGTTGCTCTACGCGAGACCATGCGACCAATTGCAAGTACGGCGCTCTGAAAAAGTCTTTGGCCGGTGTTCGGCCTGTTGTTTTAGCGTCGTCGTCATCATCGTCATCAACCGGAAGGCCACTCACTATCGAGAAAACTACCGAGAGCGTTTTGGATGAGGTGGTGATGAAGCGAGCACCGACGCAGATCACGATAATTCGCCTATCGGCCGCTTGTGAAGACACTGACGACAACAACAACCAAAGGCCTCGCTTCGCCCATTGAAAATCTGGGCCAAAAATGCCTTCAAATGTGAGGAAACTTGAAACGTCCCAGTTTGGCTTTCTGTGTAACCAAAGACTTTTGCACGTCATCGTCAAGACCGAAATAGGGGAGGAAGAGGAGAAGAGCTGGTCTTGGTGGGCCAAAGTAAAGTCAAGCACAGGCCAGCCGCTGTTGCAAACTTAAACTTCCTGGTAGGCACATTTTTAAAAGCGTAACGAGCGTCACGGCGGGGGGTGGCGGCGGGCCACGTGGGCGCCGCAGGGGGAGCAGAAAGGATGCGGCGAGTCGGCGGGAAGTTGGCGGCACAGCGAGCAGATGGTTCGCGCGGTCAGGCGGAGCAGGCCGGCCGGATTCCTCTCCGCGCCGGCCCCCCCGCGGCGCCAGTCGCCGTCGGGGGGCACGTCCAGACGCAGCGGCCGAGCCACCCCGCCCCCTCCCCCTCCTGCGCCGGGAGACGCACGGGGCTGAGGGGCAAAGCTGGTGAGACGGCCGGGACGGGACAAGGTGGCATAAAGACTGTGAGGGGCGGCGGCGGCACCCCCTCTTTGTCCGGAGAGCAACAACGAGGAGGAGGCGGAGGAACGACGGGGAGCGCGGGGAAGTGTCCCATATGTCAAGGGGACGCCCGAGTGCCGCTCATGCAAAACCACCGCTTCTCCCTCATCCCCATGGAACCGCCATCCGGGTCCTGACAAACAAAGGAGGCGAAAGGCAAGAGTGAGAAAGTCATCAGTCGCGGGCCGAGGAGCCAGAAATGACGCTCGTTCTTTTTGGCAAGAGTGAAACCTGCGGCGCTGAAGCTGCTTTGCAAGTGGCACAAAAGCACCAGCCGTGGCGCTTTGCGTTCTTAGCAAGTTGCGTCAAATGAGCCTCACCTGGCGGCGGTGCGGATGAAGAGGAGATGTTTACCTGGGGGGCCCGAGCCAGGCGGTCGTGAGCTTGGTGGAGGTGCGAGAGGCGACTGGACACCGTGACGGGAGGACGAGGACGGAGCAGCGATGGATGACGACGAGGTGGTGAGGGGCCGGGGGAGGGTTGACGAGGAAGGGGAGCGGCTGGACACCGACACCTTGCGAAATAAGTGATGGGGAGGACACATCAAGAGAACAAGATGGCGGAAGATGAGAAAGAAGGTCAACTCCACCAAAAACATCAAATTAGACTTGCAAGAAAGAGAAACAAAGTCATGACGTGTAAATTCGAATGAAAATAAAAAAATGGTCTTGAAGAATGGCAGATGCGGCACGTGACCACAGGGTGGCAGTAGAAAGGCGCGTGTGACTTACTGGGCCTCGGGCAGGGCCCAGGTTGGTGTTCAGATTTCGAGTGATGCGGCGAAGGTTTTCTGCGCTGTAGCTCTCGTCCGCGCCGTCTGGACACTGAACAGCCAGTCGCCATGTCAATCACGGCACATTCTAATCAGTAAGTATTTCTCTCATCAATTTTTCCCCAAACTTGTCCTCTCGCACTATGTTCGAATTTGAGAATATTTCTTTGCGCATTGAGTTAGTTACCTTGTGTTTGGTTTGGGTTCCATTCATAAATCTGCCTTGCCGATGGAAAAAAAGCATTCAGGCTTTGCGCAGTCATTCACAGTGTGATGTCACTTTCAGTTGCACACGAATCATGATGTCATTTGTGATATCGCTGTCATTTACGAGGTCACGCATGTTTCTCTCGGTAATTCACGATGTCACTTGCATCATGCATCTCATTTGTGATGTCATTTCTGAAACTTCTTATGACTTCTTACCTTGGGGGCAAGCATCACGGGCGTCCTGTAGGCGTGTCTCTCCATCTCGGCCGTCGGCGTTTTGGAGCGCCGCAATCCAGACGGGATTCTCCTCGGTCCTGCGGCACCACCAGGTCACAAAACAGCAACACTTAAAAGTTCAGCAGCTTAATTCCAACATGGATTCGGTATATGACAACTAGGAGGCATCCCTCAAGGATCCTTCCCAACTCCCATTGACATCATCAGTATTTTGGAAATACTTTGTGGAATTTCTTTTTCAATAAATGCTAGCAATACGACCTCTAATTAGGCGCATTACCGCAGTAGCATTTGTGCGCCGGTCTGCTTTTAGGTTCGAGTTCAGTTTGCGGTTTTCAAAGTTTGGATTGTATGGATGATGTTTTCTACCTGCTTTGTGGCTCGGAGCGCTGCCGTGCACGCCGGGAGCCAGCAGGCTGGCGCGGTACAGAGAGTCCAGTTCTGAAAGTTCCTCAGCCGGGGGTGGCTGTGCGCATGCGCCTCCTCCCGTTTCTGGTGCATTGTGGGAGCCGTAGTATCTGCTGACATTTTGTGCCCAGCGCTCCACGGGCAGCGAGTCTCCGCCGCCCTCGGCACAGGAAGAGGAAGACACAACTGGCCCGCTGGCGGCGGCCGCGGGTGGGCGCTTGTAAAGGGCCGCCGGGTTGATTGGTTGAGTGGCAGAACGATGGTCCGACTCTAAGCAGGACCATTTCCTGCTGGGGGGTCTGGTGGAATAAAGCCGCTCCTCCTCCATCAGGTTGTTTGCTGTGTCAGGCGGCAGTAACGCGGAATATGACCTTGGGGTGGATGGGAACTCCGATGGCAGCGTGGCCAGCAGGGCGGCGCCGCCCCCCTCAGGGAGACCCGGTGACTTCATCTCTCTCGGGGGGCCTGGAGCCAAAGAGACCGCCGCTGGAGCTGACCTGCCGTTGATGGAGGCCACGTTGCCGGAGTCGCGCGTTGGAGCGGGTGCGGCGAAGGGGGCGGGCTCATAGGAGGAGCCGGTGTGGGAGGCCACGTCCGTGATGGGACAAGGAGGCGGGAGAGATGGAAGAGGGAGAGGCGGGCCCTGCCGGTCTTGGCTGGACGCTGATTGGTCGTCACAAGTGTCCGTCAGAAATATTTGGTGCGAGACAGGCTTTTCACTGCGGAGACGTGCGCACACACACACACACACACACACATGCAGACCCGTGAGAACATGTGACAGGGGGA